CCTCGGTCGTCCAGCAAAGGGAATAGGAATTTATTCTCTCCTGGGCCGTCATCCATCAAAGGGTGGAAAGAAAATTTCTTCTTTGTGGATGACACCGAGTGGAGTAGGAGGGATGCTGAAGTAGAACAGTTGTCTGCTTGGAAAGCGAAGAAAACCAAGCAGAACAACTATAAGTTGAATGAGGACGAGGTGGATGAGGTGAAGAAGCTGGTGAGGGAAGATGGGGACGTAGTGGATATCTTGTACCTCACCAGCCAGGAGGCGATAGATGCTACTGAGCTTTATGGGCCAAGCTCATTGAGTGAAGGTCTGTGTATGTTTACATTGTGCCATGTTAGTTAGATCTTAGTTTATGCGTTTTGACTTTTGCGCTTGTGTTGCAGCTGAGATGGAGGAGTTTACCAATGCTGCTGGGGGGCTGCGCATCCCCAAGAAGCCAAGGAAGAAGTCAACGACTTCAGCTGCGGCGAACAGAGGGGTGCCCGAGAGAGAGCGCCTGCCCAGCACTTCAGCCCGGGCCGTGGAGGTGCAGCCAAGGCCGGAGCCTGTGATGGGGGGCAGCGAGGATGTAAGCGAGGAGATGGCACCGCTCCAGAGGAAGAAGAGGAGGGTGGCAGAGCTAGAAGGCAGGGTGGATGAGGTGGTGGAGTTCATGCCTCGACCTTCTCCTCCAGAAACCATTCCTGAGATCCAGGAGAGGGGAGAGGCCGAGGTGCGAGGCCTTAGTGGGGGCAGGGAGCGCACCCCACCCCACGCGTACCAGAAAGGTTTGTTTGAGGCGACAAACATGACTGGGGTGAAGCACTTTCTCAACGCTACGCTTCCTGACATGGATAGGATGCAAGCGAAGAACGAGGTGCTTAGCCATGCGGGGTATACCGTGGTGAGGCATGCCCTAGAGGTATGCGAAATCTAGGTTTTACTTTGGTTGCATGTTTGAGTTTTTTGTCCCCTATGTCTGATGTCTGACTTCTGATTGCATTGCAGAGTGCGAGCTGGACAAACGCTCTAGCGCAGGAATATACAGAGAGCGTTAGAGATCGTGCCAGCTTGCAGAGGCAATGCGATGCCCTGCGAAAGGAGAAGGAGGAGCTTCAGAAGGAAAAGGGGGAGTTGCAGAAGAAAAACCAGCAGATTCAGAGGAGGCTGGATGAGGTGACACCAACAGTGACCGAGCTCCAGAGTGAAAACAGCGTCTTGAGCACGAAACTGTCTCTTGAGGAACGCAAAAGGAAAATTTGCGAAGAGAAGCTTGAGGCTCAAGACAAATATATCGAGAGC